TTTTTTTTTTTTTTTTTTTTAGTATTCACTAGTTAATGGACAATTGGATTGTTTCTACTTTTTGGCTATTATGAATAGTGCTTTTATGAATATTCACATAAAAGTCTTTGCATGAACATATGCGGCACAATTAATTATTCGTGTCTGGCCTTTCTAGCCGTGGTCTTGTAACTCCCACCCAGGTGTTTGTGTGATAGGGTAATTGTGGCCTACCAAGGGGATTGGCTAGTTTTGCTTTAAAAGAGAGCCAATTCCAGAGCAGAGAGAGAGGAGTCCACTATCGAGGAAGGAAAGACTCAGAAGCAGGAGATGGTGCAGTGGGCTTCCCAGCCCATGGAGAGAGAGAAAGTTGAGTGCCTCTGGGCAGAGACTGAGGGCCAGGGAGAGGCATACCTGCGAACATTGATGGGAAGAGGCTATCCTGATGGAAGAACTGTATCTTGAGTGTTCCTAAGCCTGAATTATAACTGTTACTTCCCTAATAAACCCCATCACTGTGAGTACGCTCCGTGAGTTCTGTGTGGCCGTTGCAATGAATTATCGAACCCAGTAGAGAGTGCTGTGGGAGGAACAGCTGGTGTCAGAACTGGTGGAGAGAAGAGGTTTGTCAGGCCTCTACCACATGGGAGTCAGCCTTGCGCTGCTGATCTTGGTTCTCCTTCCCCTTTGTGGGGTAGGAGAAGTTCAGACACTGCCTCCACGGCATTTTTACAACATATTTCCATCTCTTTTCAATAGATACCTAAGAGTAGAAATGCTGGGTCATTTGGTAAGTAAATGTTTAACTTTATTTAAAAAAAAAAAAAACCCTGCCGAACTGTTTTCCAAAGCAGCTCTCTCATGTTACATTACCACCAACGATGTATGACGGCTCCAGTATCTCCTCATTCTCACCAACCCTTGGTATTGTCAGTATTTTTTATTGTAGCCATTCTAGTGCGTGTGTAATGGTATCTTATTTCAGTTTTAATTTGCATTTCCTTAATTGAGGCAGGAAGCCTCAGAGACAAACCCTTCTAAGAGGCAACTGCTCTGGCTTATCCTCCTACACCGAGCAGGAAAAGCTGCACTTTCTTCTGAAATTGTCCTTGACAAGACAACCACAGAATGGGCCATAGATGGCCTCAATCTACCTCCTGGTGGAGACTTAACATCCTAATGAAGGAAAATAGACCCCTTCCTCCATCCCGGAGAATCAAATGCTTGTCTAGAGAAAATGCACAGTCATCCCCAAGCCCTGAGTGCCTGTGTAAAAGTCAATCCTGAATATTCACAATGAATTTGCATTTCCTTGTCTGCTCTCTGTAAAAGCCCACCTCCCCAAGCTGCCTGCGAGCAGTTTTGGAGGCAACAGCCCCGATTGTTCCTTTCCTTGTACAATGAAGTAAAGGCGTCTTTCTGATCTTGTTTGCTGGCTGTAACAAGTCACGACGGGCAAAACCTGGGGTTTTCACCCAGCAACATAATGACTAATTCTTGCCCATTTTTGACAATTCTTTTAATTGGACTGTCTTCTTATTAATGAGTTATTAAGAGTTCTTTATCCATATATCAGATATGTGTTTCACAAATATTTTCTCCCAGTCTGTGACTTTTCATTTTCTTAATGGTATCTTCTGAAGAGCAAAAGTTTTTCATTTTAATGAAGTCTATTTTATCTTTCTTTATTTTTAATGGTTTGTGCTTTTGGTGTCATCAAAAGGCATTTAAAAATATATATAACCAGCTATATATACTTATTACAAGATATAAGGATACAGAAATGTTGAAAATAAAAAGATAGAGAAAAGATGGATGGAATATTAAACAAAAAAAAGGTGGGGTAAATAAATGTTAATATTAGACAAAATAGAATTCAAATAAAAAAGCATTACTAGAAATAAAGAAGATCACTATGTAATGATAAAAAGTTCAAATCACTAGGTAGTCAAAAAATTCTAAACTTATATGTACTTTAATATTGAATTGTTAAGAGAAATAGATAAATCTAATACTGAGAAATTTTTAACATTTCTCTTTCAGTAATTGATATTTCAAGAAAACCTAAGGTAAATAGAGTATATAACACATAAACACAATCAACATGTCTGATCTAATAAGCATACTGAGAACTTACAGTTTTTAAAAATCTCAGAACATTAAAAACTGACCATATACTGAACCATAAGGCAAGTCTCAGTAACCATTTAAAGGACTGGATTAGAGTATTTTCTCTAAGCCAAGTGCGATTAAATTAAAAGTCAATATCAAAATGATAATTAGAAATGCCCAAAATGTTTGCAAATAAAAAATACATTCTTCTAAATAACTCTTGGGTCACAGAAGAAATGATAATGAAAATTAGAAAACATTTAGAACTAACCAATAACAAAAATACTACATATCAAAATTTGTAGGACATAGGTAAAGCAGTACATAGAAATGTGTAGAATATTCTATTGCTGGCTTGGTATTACTTAGTTATGCTTGTCTGTGAGGGAGCCCTGGTGGCACAATGGTTAAACACTCAGCTGTTAACTGAAAGGTTAGCTGTTCAAACCCACCCAGATGCTCCATGGGAGAAAGACCGGGCAATTTGTAAAGAATATAGTCTAGAAAACCCTATGGGACAGTTCTGCTCTGTCACAAGAGGTCGCTATGAGTCGAAATAGACTTGATGGCACCTAACAACAACAGCTGTTCCATGTGACCCACTGTGTAACTCTGTCTGATGAACTTTTTAAACACAGCTGATCAAAGAAGAGATAGAAGATGTGACTTCTAATGTGGCCTTGAAGAAAATCTAATTATTGTCCTGTCTTGATGCATTTCAGAAGCATCTAGGGGCAACATCAAACGGCTATTAATCATATCTTCAGATAACCCCAATGAATGCCTCAGACCAACAGCAGGGGCTGGGGAAGCAGATCTTTCCTGAGGACAGCACCCAGAATGACCTTGGTATCAGTTCTTACGCCCACTGAGTTGACTGAACCAAAAATATGGGAGAAATTATAATGAATTGCTCTGTAGAGAACCCTTAAAACTCCTCTTCACTGGCCAGTTCACACACCACCCACCCCCACTCACACACACACACACACACATGCACACACACACACAAATAGAGAAGAAGGCGAGAGAGATTGATTACGCACATTCCTTTCTAGATGATGATTCCATTAGAAGAAGGTCAAAAGCAATAGCATTGTTGAGCCAAAGTGCCAGTGCAGACATTTTTGACACAACAGTAAGGTTAAAGCTGAGTCCACATGGATGTGAGTAGTTCTACCTCTCCCTTCCATGAGGCTGGAAAACAAGGACTGCTTGTGAGCAACCCTGCCCTGAGAAAGCCCAAGATGAGCTGAGACAACTCTGATCTGATTCCTAGGCACTGTAGCAAATGCTTGCTTTTTCCCGTCCATTTCCTTGGGGATAGCAACTAAGGATGCTATTTGGCCTACTTTTAATGTTAAAGGCTTTATTGGCAGGCAAAATGACCCCTCCGCATAGATTAGACTAGACACAAAGGAAGGAACCCATCCTTAGACTGGGACAAGGCCCCAGCTCGCAGCTCCCTCTCTGTATTTATGCACCCTCAGCACGCATCCACGATCCTGAGACAAACTGCCTCATCCACCAGCCACACCTTTGCCCACTCTGAGGAGTCCTTAGTGCTGGCTTTGCATGTGTTTCAGGGTCCCCAAGACCACACACACATTCAGCAATTCACTACACGGACTAATGGGACAACATAGTTGTACTCAGCAAGAGAAAAACGACCGGTAGAATCTGGAGAAATCTGTGCACAGGCTGATGATTCTCTCT